AAGGAGCAGCCAATGCAGACAAAGCCTGGAGGAGGAACAAAGAGGGACGGAGGGAACGGGGCCCAGACAAAGGGAAACAGCAGGAGGGGCCTGGGAGTGAAGGCTCTGACCATCCTCATCCTCTTCATCCTCATCCTCTTCATCCTCTTCAACTTCACCCCCATCCTTAGCATCTTCATCCCCATCTTCATCTTCACCCCATCCCCATCATCATCTTCGTCCCCATCATCTCCACCCTCATCTTCATCCTCATTGTCTTCATCCCCACCCTCATCATCTTCACCCTCTCCCCATCCTCATCATCTTCATCCCATCCCCGTCATCTTCATCCCCATCCTCTTCATCCCCATCATCTTCATCCTCATTATGTTCTTCCTCATCTTCATCCCCATCCTCAGCCCCCTCCTCATCCCTGTCATCTTCACCATCCTCTTCCTCACCCTCATCCCCATCATCTTCATCCCATCCCCGTCATCTTCATCCCCATCCTTCTCATCCCTATCTGCATCTTCGTCCCCCTCATCTTCACCCCCCTCATTAGCATCCTTACCCCCATCCTCATCATCTTCATCCCCATCCTTCTCATCCCTATCTGCATCTTCGTCCCCCTCATCTTCACCCTCTTCCTCATCCTCTTCATCCTCATCTTCATCCCCCTCATTAGCATCCTTAGCCCCATCCTCATCCCTGTCATCTTCACCATCCTCTTCCTCACCCTCATCCCCATCATCATCACCCTCACCCCCATCTTCATCATCTTCATCCCCATCCTCTTCATTCCCATCTTAATCCTCTTCATCTCCATCATCTTCACCCTCATCCTCATCATCTTCTTCCTCATCTTCATCCCCATCCTCAGCCCCCTCCTCATCCCTGTCATCTTCACCCCCATCCTCTTCCTCACCTCACCTCACCTCATCATCCTCATCCCCATCCTTAGCCACATCTTCATCCCCATCATCTCCACCATCATCTTCATCCTCACCCCATCCCCATCATCTTCAGCCCTATCATCTTCATCCTCATCCCCATCCTCATCATCTTCATCCCCATCCTTAGCATCCTTAGCCCCATCCTCATCCCATCCTCATCTCCATCCTCTTCATCCTCATCATCCTCATCCCATCCTCATCATCTCCATCTTCATCATCCTCATTCCCATCCTCATCATCCTCATCCCCATCATCTTCATCCTCTTCATCTCCATCCCCATCATCATCCTCATCCCCATCACCTTCCTCCCTTTCCCAATGATCTTCCTCCCCATCCTCATCCTCACCCTCATCCCCCAGCACCAATTTCAACCATCAAACCCAACGATTTTTGCCACCTCCTTTGAAAATCTGAATTTTCACCCTGATGTTTTTTCTACTCTATTTTTTAACATCTGATTTTTTAAAATATCAGAATATTTTAATATCTGAATATTTTAATACCTGAATTATTTAATATCTTAATAGTTTAATATCTGAATAGTTTAATACCTGGATTATTTAATATATGAATATTTTAATACCCGGATTATTAAATATCTGAATATTTAATACCTGAATTATTTAATATCTGGATAGTTTAATAAATACCCAGATTATTTAATATCTGACTGTTTTAATACCTGGATTATTAATATCTGAATATTTTAATATCTGGATATTTTAATACCTGAATTATTTAATATCTGAATAGTTTAATACCCGGATTATTTAATATATTAATATTTTAATATCTGAATAGTTTAATATCTGAACAGTTTAATACCCAGATTATTCAATATCTGAATATTTTAATACCTGAATTATTTAATATCTGTACAGTTTAATACCCGGATTATCCAATATCTGAATATTTAATACCTGAATTATTTAATATCTGAATATCTTGCTACCTCAACATTTTAATCACGGAATCTTTGGGGATCTGAACCTTTTAATATCTGGATCTTTTTCCATCAAAACCTTTGGAGATCCCAATGATTTCAGCCACGAATATGAAATCTCTCCAGAGTTAAGATCTAAACATTTTCATGTCTGTACCCTTGGATAACTGGATATTTGGTTAGCTGAATGGTTTGTTATCTGAATAGTTTGATATCTGGATATTTTCATAGCTGGATATTTTAATATCTGGGTATTTTAACATCTAAATATTTTAATATCTCAATATTTTAATATCTTAATTTCTTGATATCTTAATATTTTAATATCTGGGTATTTTGATATCTCAATATTTTATTATCTTGATATCTTAATATCTTAATATTTTAATATATGGGTATATATATATTTTAATATTTTAACATTTTTATATATTAATATATTAACGCCTGGGTATTTTAATATCTGAATATTTTATTATCTGGATATTTTAATTTCTTAATATTTTAATATCTCGATATTTTAATATTCGACTATTTTAATATCAGGACATTTTGATATCTGATCATTTTAATATCAGAATCTTTTAATATCTGAGTATTTTAATGTATTAATATTTATATTAACGCCTATTTTGATATCCGGGTATTTTCATACCTGGATATTTTAATATCTGGGTATTTTTATATCTAAATATTTTAATATCTTCATATTTTAATATCTGGCTATTTTAAAATTGGGATATTTTAATATCGGGATATTTTAATATCAGGACATTTTGATATCTGATTATTTTAATATCCGAATATTTTAATACCTGAGTATCTTGGCACCTGAAAACTTTCCTCTCTGGGTGTTTTTCTCACTCAGTATTTTGATCCCTCAATATTTTAATCTCTGATTATTTAAATCTCTTCATATTCTCCTGAGTATTTTCTATTAATATTTTCATAGCAGGATATTTTAATAAGTGTGCCTCAGTTACTCAATTTTTTACAGACTTGTAAGTTAAACACGTGTGTTATTTACCTTGCCATGTTTTAATGACTATTTAAATTTTGAGCTGTTTAAGTGATGTCAGTAATGATGAAGATTTTGTTGTTATTTATTGTGAGCTTTTTAGTATGTTGTAATGGATTGTGGGCCTGCATGTTTTGTCTCTCAGGCAAAATTTTTAAACATAATTTAAGTGTTCGAAAAGTTTTTTTGAACTGGAGAGACATCTATCCCAAATCAGCACCTTTGGCGTGGTTAGTGGCAGAGTACTAGCTTTTCCAGAAGGTTTCTGGGTCTGTTCTCCAACATACATAGGTGCAGAACTCTAAAATACTGAGTTGAACAAGAGAGAGCAGTTTTGCAGTGTACTGCTGCCCCAAATACAGAGATATTGGGAAAACTCCTAACATACCTACTCTGAATGTTTTCTTCTTGATAAACCCATACTGTAAAATGCCATTATTTATTACTATCTGGGAGAATGCATCCTTGGATTCTGAACCATGTAAGTGGAAGAGTTTTGAGTTGGAAATTGCTGATAAACTGATTCAGAAGAACCTGCAAGAACTCTGGTAGTCCTTTTTTTCACATGCTGGTGCAAACAGTAATTATTTTGAATGGTGAAGCCAAGATATGTTTCAGTTCTGTGAGGAAAGCTTAAGTAGCTTTAGATTAGGTTAGGCTAACAAAAAAATAAGCCAGGATCAGCTGTGCTAAAGCAGCTAGCTGTACTTTGAACATGAGTAAACTAATTCCCAAAATTCTTTTAGTGGTGGCCTCTGTTACTCACTGTTATTGCAAATTGCTGGATGGTGTTCTGAATGGTTTAACTGAAGGTTTGCTTCACTGCAGTTCTTCAGTGGTTTGACCTCTTGTCAGGGAACAGATGTGGCTTCCAATGTGGCAGCTTGTAAGATAATACTGTATTTCTGAAGTATGCTTGTGTTGTGTGATTTTACTGTTGTTTCACATTCAAGACTGTATGGTGCTCAAGTTATGATCTTGATAAATTTTTGCAACAAACCACATGGTTTGGGTAAACTTGTAAAATTTGAAGAAGTGCAACTACTCTATCTGAAATCACTGGTACATACCAGGTAATGACACAACTGGCAGGCATGTTAACTAAGTTGGTGTGGATGAGTGCAGTTAGAAAGCATCAGGCTGTAAGCATATTGATGTTTTAAGTATATTTTGTCACTTAAGAGGAATATGAAATCTGAGGAAGTTGGCACTGGAATTTAGAATGGAAAGAATGAGTTGGTTTATGATGTAGAGAACTATTTTCCACTTTCCCTTTGACTTCTGTCCTTATCTTCTCTGGCAATAATATGCAGGGAAATGGTATCTTTTGTTTTTCTTGTTCCTGTATGGGAATGGTAATTGTTCTTTCTTCTTACCTGTTCAGGAAGTATTCTAATTCCTCCTCCCCAACAAAACACTGTATCAGTCATTGCCAGTATAATTTTTTTTTCCCCTTTATTTTCTAACTTCGGCCTTCCTGAATTCTCCTGTGATGCCTGTATAAACCATCTGGCAAAACAAGGAATTTTTTTATTTTTTTTTTTTCCCCTCCTCCCGCCCTCCACTCTGGAATGAAACAAATTTTGTATCTGTGTTCTGCTACCCTATGTGGAAGTATAACGAACATGGTTAAAACTTGCATCTAAATTTTGGCTCCTGGAGCTGCCTTCTTCCAAACTTGATTTTCCAGATGGTAAATCTATCTTATTAATGGAAATGTTCTTACAGTTCTCTTGGGAATCTGTCTTATACTGTTGCCTTCTCCCTTCCCCCTTCTCAAGCCAAATCTCTTTCCAGGAAGGAAAAAAAAATAAAAAAATCCATGGACTAGGTTGAGCTTCAGCTGAATAGAGTGTCTCATTTCAGATATACTTTCTGCTGCTTCTCAAATGACCAAAACATAAGTGACAGCTGAGTTGTCTGTTTGTCATGGGTCAAGGGCAGTCCAACTTAGCAGTTTCCCTTTTCCTCTTTCCTGAGTTTTGTTTGGAAGCAGTAGTGATTTGCCATTCCATATAGTCATCCTCCTGTCATGAAGACCAGATGGAAATACGTCAGTTGTTTCATGTATAAATACTCAGCCCAACAGCTGTGAGTTTATCAGAAGTCACTGGGATCACAAGTTGGTGACCAAACTGTTAGCTTAAGAGAGTTGTAAGCATTACTTTTAACTTAAAATAAAACTGTACTGTAAAACCGTTAGAAACAGCCGCTAAAGCTCACCAAAAGGAGGAGGAACAAAGTTGAACTACTTAAATGCAAATTCCTTTTTCAGACGAAGTTATGCTTGTTTTTTTATAGTGTTACAGAGTTCTCTTATACCAATGATCATGTTCCAGCCACTGATACTGTTCCTAAAGTAGCTAAAAGTGTTGTTCTGAGATCTCCTTTCCTTTTTGTAGTTTTATTAGGTAAGAATATTTATCCAGATGACTACCCAGTGATCTTTTGGCCAGTTGGTATTCCTTGGTCTGTGTTTCAATATGCATTTCTAGCAAAAAAACTGAGACACCTGATGTGATCCTAGCTAACAATGAATCAAGTGTAATGAGATTCATAATAAATCTAGTTGACACTGTTAATTAAGGGGGTTAACTTGACTTTACAGGTTGCAAAGGTTTTTTGCTGCCATCCATGTGTGAATAAGCCTTGATTTATGTCAATGATATTCAAAAAGGGGGGGTTGTTGGAAGTCTGCCAATGGCCATTGGGTGTTTGGTTGTAAAGTGCAATGTGTTGCATGGGCTGCTGAGCATAATGTGAAACAAAGTGCCATAAAAACAAACTTCAGTGCTAAGTACATGACTGAAGAAACACTTTAAAGGGAGAATGGGCACGGACATTAACTTAAGAGAGCTTCTCTGCAGAAAATGAATGTAGAGCTGAGACATAGTT